GATGGCAGAGCCAAAAAGAGGACTCTGATGACAATAAGCAGGAAAAAAAAGCTGGAAAGGCAGACAAAAAGGAGAGCCGGGGCGGGTGTCACCGGATGGCACTCAGTCAAGTTCTCTTGAGGCTCCTGCCAGTGTGACGCCCACTTATGAGAGGGAGCATGCCCACACACACACACACAGTGAGTCTCTCAGTGCCTCTTTTCAGGATGAATCTTAAAGGCAAATCAGGTGCGATGAAAATAGTTTGAGCTGCACTCATGTACAAATTTACTTTGCTTAACCTCTGTGTTACTTACTGTTTGTCTTCTTTTTCTACCTGTCTGAGCTTTCCTTATGTTGTTCAACCTGTTTTATTATTGTTTTTGCAAGAAGATCTTACAGCATGCTGGGGCCTTAATAAAGCAAGCATAGCAGTATGTTTTATGCCTTAATGCCATCTGTTAGAAACAAGCTTTTGTGTTATAATTAGGTCAGACTGATTTGTGTTTTCGCATGTTGATGAAAGAAGCTTCTTAGCATATCATTCTAATTGATCTGATAAAGCACCTCAGCATTCTCAGGTGGAAAACAGGATGAAACCACAGAGCACATTGGCACTTTGTGAGGAGAAGGGTTGTCTGAGAGAGAACCACTGACATAAAAGAAGAAAGAAGTAGAAAAAGGGGAAACTGAATGGTAAAAGTTCTTGGATGCTCTCCACCTGACTTTATATTTTTATACACACACTTATCACATTTGTATTTAAAGATTTTAATCAAGTTGGCTTCAGAGAAGTTGGAGAGACGGATTCACACGGACCAATTTTATTACACCAAAAATATAATCAAATAAAATATAATTATTAGAAACATACATCAAAATTTACATACAAGCCTGTGGTGGAAGGTAACAAAGTACAATTAAATACTGCACTTAAGTACAATTTTGCATGTACATTTTGTGCTGCTTGTACTTTCTTTAAGTTTTACTCTTCTACATTTCAAAGAGAAATATTGTACTGCACTACATTTATCTGACAGCTATACTAGCTACTTTATAGATAATATAAAAAATAGATTATGAGCTTATTAATATAATTTGTTTGAGCTCCGCCTCAACCTGCTGCAACATTAAAATGCTGCTTAGATATTAATGCATGAGTAATAATAATCCAGAGATATTATATATTAAAATAAAACTCCAATATTCAGCCTCCATAGTGAGTACTTGAGCTTTTGATACTTTAAACACATTTTGAGAAGTATACTTAATTATACATTTGTACTTTACTGAAATAAAACTTTTTATTTTTACATTGTAGTGTTACTGCTTCTACCTACGTAAAATAGTATTTGTTAAAATTCTGTAAACAGCACATGTTGAGATATGTTAATACATTTGTATTTAATAATCATTTATATGCATGATTATTCACAGACGTGATAATATCAGAAATGTCACTGGTGCATGTATTTTTTTATAAAACGTGTCTCTGAGACAAACGTTAAAAGGGACAGAGGTAGAAGATGCACTTGAAGAATCACACAGTATATATTTAATCAGATACATAAACAGTGCAATGTAAACAAGTGTAACTAGCAGTGCTGTACAAAGTGAGTCCTACATTATATGAACAGACAAAAATCAATAACGTCCAAACTTGGTTGGATATTTAAATAACTGTTAACTTAAACAAGTCTGTAAGGGAAGAAAAGGAGAAGTCATTCACATCCAGTGGGAAAACTACAATTAAATCATTGCACAGAATATTTTATTACCATCTGATGAAGCTTGTTGTTCAGACCCTTTGGAAACACGGTCTGTGGGGTAAAAATCAAAAGGGGTGCCTCACATCTGTTTAACAATAGGTCATGATTCCCTCCTCTGTGTGGTAGATCGACCTTTTCAGATCCACAGAAGCGAAGACACAACACGTCACTGCAATGTTCAGCCACGGCGTAATAACAACCATTAAAGGGGAACTTCGGCAGATTTTTACCCTAGTCTTGATCACTAGAAGTCCCCGAGTACTGTCGATAGGAAAAATAA